AGTGGCTGACGTCACTTTTCTGGCTCACAAGTGTATCATAGTGCATCAGTAGCAGAAAATGGAAATAACACCAATAAGAAAAAAAATTTAACTAGAGCCCTGGAGTCCTAAGGGAACTCAATTTCCAGGTTTGCTTTTTAAACTATCTGGTGTCATAAACAGTTACATTTAATGTTATAAACAGTTCATTTCATATTTTCCCTATAATTTAAATCCTTAAAATTAAAACATTTCTTATACTAACAAAATGTTTGTAAGTAAATGGTTAATGGGGGAAAAAAAAAGTATTTTAAGGAATTATAAGTTTAAAAATGATACCGCAAATTATTAAGTCAATGTAAAGTATACCCAGTGAGTAAGATAAATGTATTCAATTTGCTACATCCCTTATTAGGAAACATAAGAGTTTGACATATTTTCCTTATGCTGTTTAATAAAAGTATTGTTGTTGTTATTTAAGTGCCATCAAGTTGATTTTGACTCATAGTGACCATGTATAGGGTTTCCAAGGAGCAGCTGGTGGGTTTGAACTGCTGACCTTGTCGTTTGAAGTCCAGTGCTGATCCTACAGTGCCACACCAGGAGTCCATTAAAAGTATTAGGGTAAGAAATTTAGTAATATGTGTGTAACTGGAAAAAAAATATACAGCTCTTCTCATCCATGAAAAGGAATTGATGAAACTTTTACATATTTTCAAACCATTTTTTTGTATCACCAGGTTGAGAATATTTCTACAGTAATTTTTAAAACGCTTTTTGTGAATTATGTGATAGTTTACAATGGTGAACATTAGTTTTACATTCATCCTATTGTATATCGTTTAATTGCCATGGTTACAATCCCCTTCATTCATCATCAACCAACCAAAGGGTATACATTACAAGCTTGACCCCCGGTCGTCAGCACACAGCCCCTCTCCATCTCTGTGTCTAAAGTTCCCAGCTGCTCCATCTTTCCATGTCATCATCTCTGCCTCCATCTCAGGCATCACTGCTTCTCTGGGTAGGGTCCCGCTCTCCGCTCTTCTCACTTGATGGCCCCAGGAACCTCGGCTCCTAGACTGCAAAGTTAATCACTCCCCTTCTTGCTGCAAAACATCTACGTTTACATTTTCAATCCTCACAATCAGTCCTGATAACAATTATTCACTGATGCATCACAAGAGACCTATCTGCATTTCCTTTCATCAGTGGAGATTCTACCTTCCTTCATACCCTCTTGAAAGCTTGTAAGCCAGTCACTTCTTATCTTTATTGTTGTTGTTGTTAGGTGCCATCGAGTCAGAACCAACTCATAATGACCTTATACACAGCAGAACAAAACAGTGTCCGATCCTGGGCCAACCTCACTACTGTTGCCACACTTGAGTCCATTGATGCTGCCACCTGGCCAATCCATCTTGTTGGGGGTCTTTGTCTTTTTCTCTGACCCTCCACCTTACCAAACATGATATCCTTCTCCAGTGACTGTTGCCTCCTGACAATATGTCCAAAATAAGAGAGACGAAGTTTGGCCATTTTGGCCTCTAAGGAGCACTCTGGCTGCACTTCTTCCAAAACAGCTCTATTGGTTCTTTTGGCAGTCCATGGCACTTTTAGTATTCTCCTCCAACACCATAATTCAAAGATATCAATTCTTCTATGATCTTCCTTATTCACTGTACAGCTTTCACATGCATATGAGGTTAATGAAAATACCATGGCTTGGGTCAGGCACACGTTAGTCCTCAAGCTGACATCTTTGCTCTTCAATACTTTAAAAAGTTCCCATGCAGCAGATTTGCCTAATGCAATAC